GAGAGAGAGAGAGAGAGAGAGAGAGAGAGAGAGAGAGAGAGAGAGAGGTGTGTTGTGAGATTTTTGTATATCACTATGGTAAGTTAACTTTTATTGTTAAAACCAGATCTGCAGTTAAATGAGATCTATCGCGGCTCATCCATAGCCTCACTTCCTCTAATATTCGTTTTGGTTTTCGTTGCCATCCTAGTGGGTGTGAGGTTCTATGTTTTAATATGCTTTACTTGGTGAGCCATGAGGTTGAGCATCTCTCTTGGGGAGCAGAGCTCACAATTTCCGTGTAGACAGAGCTTTCAGCCTTTCCCTTCTCCTCCCCTCTCCCGGCCTCAGCTCCGTTTGTGGCCAGGGTCTTGCCTTGCTCTGAGATCCAGGCTGCCCAGAGCTTCAGATCCTCCTGCCTCAGCCTCCTGAGGGCTGCATCCGCTTCTTTCATACTGTCCTTGCATGATGGATGGGGTTTGTTTTTGTTTTGGTTATTGGATTATACTGGAATGATTTTTCCATGTGGTTCAGTTTTGTTGCTTTGGGTTGAAGTTTCTGTTGGTTTGTATTCTCTCTCATTCAGTTTCCCTTTTCTGGTCATGTGTTGACATTGTCTTCTAATAACCATCCTGAAAATATTCTGTGGCTGCTTGACTGCTTGAAAAACTCACTATTTCAAGCATCCCAACTTCTTTCCAGAATAATATAAACCTCTCAGGGACACTGTTCTTTCTGATCTTAGATGCTTTTGTCAAAACATAAATATTTGTGTCACCATAAAAAATAGACATGTTAGTATAGGGCAGTGTTTGTTTTTTACTGTATATTTTTGCCATGCCTTCCATCTGTCTTCCGTCCTGTGCCTTTCTTCTCACCAGCTTCGTCTTCTTCAAGTTCTTTGCCGAGAGCGTCCTGGTTTTGGTTTCTGGGGTATCTGCATCTCACCCTTTCAGCTCTCAGCTGCCGATCACTTCCGATGGCCTTGTACGCACACTGTCCCAGGATGCAGCTGATGCTTTTATTGTCAGTGTTTAGAACATCTGCTAAGTCTTTTGTTTGCTGGACCTTAGTAGATGGCTTAACTTACACCATGGTTATCTTTGGTGGAATACAGGCTTTTTTGTTTCCTTGTTTTTATTGTATTTCATGTATCTTAAGATTCTTATCAGCCTTGAAAATGCCCTAGTCATTAGTGGTCTAAATACTGTCTCCTGCTTATTCTGTTATGCCTGTCCTCCAGCTTTGGTTAAATGAATGATAGAACTTTGTTTTACTCTTACCATCTTTCTAACTCGTGTTTGATTGCCTTCCTCAAGATGTAACTTCTCAGTTAGTAATCTTCTTCTCTTCTGCTGTATAGAATTTTCCTTTGAAATATTACTCTTAATACTTTTATATTCTCTTTTTTAAAAGTTCTATTTCAGAGCTTGAGAGGTGGCTCAGTGGTTAAGAGCACTGGCTGCTCTTCCAGAGGTCCTGAGTTCAATTCTTAGCATCCACATGGTGTCTTACAACCATCTGTAATGGGATCGATCCAATGCTCTCTTCTGGTGTGTCTGAAGACAGCTACAGTGCACTCATATAGATAAAATAAATAAATCTTTAAAGAAAAAAATGAAAAAAAGTTCTATTTCTGCTTTCAAGTTCACGAGAATATCTTCGATGCTATCATTCCGCTTTTATTTATTTCATCTGTCATATTTTAACCAACAACAGAGGGTTATCTCACCCCTTATATTTGCTGGTACCCAGCAAGTCCCTTAGTGCTCTAAATGAGTATGTATGTATTCTTTCCTGATGTGCAGATTGAGTTTGGATTATTGGTTAATAATTCAAATGGGACTTTTGTCTGAGAAGATCTCAATTAACAAATACGTGTAGATCCTGGCTATCTGGGAGGTGGATATGGATGCAGGAGGATTATTTTAGCTGATAAATTCCAACCCAGTCCAGGCACCATAGTAAAACACTATTTTAATAAAAACCAAGCAAACATAAATCCAGTCAAGCATGGTGTCACATATTATAGTCTCAGCACTTGGGAAGCTGAGACAGGAGGATTACCACATTTTATAAGTCATCCTGTGCTCTGTAGTGACTTTTAGGCCAGTCTGTGCTATACAGTGAGACCTTGTCTCACCTCACCGTGACCTACCAATTCACTTGATAATTTTACCTTGGAATTTCAAGGTATAACCTCTCCAGACTACAGACCCAGAACTGTTTCTCGGTTTTATGAGTATCTGGAAAGCTAGTGTTAATCTTGAGATTCACCAGAAAAACCAACTCCACCAGTTTGAGCCACATTTAAAGCAAGCTTTATTAAATATTAAATACTGACTAAGGAATAGACTTTGGTCAGGACTATTCCCTGGAATGTCCTAGCAGGGGTGGCCTTGAACTATGTGTTGTAGGGTCTTAAACAAACCTATAGGCTACAGTACTTTCCCATGAGGCTATATTAGTTTTTAAGAACTACATCTCCAAGGTAAAGAAAGTTACCTGGTTCCTGGGCAGGTGAGACTTGTAGGTTAATGTTGGGCATTACACTAGATATCCAGATGCCCAGCACTGTGGCTGGCATCTTAGTTGTCTCCAGAAGCTCCATCATTCTGCTTTGTCTGTTCTTCAAGGCTCCTGCTTTAAATTTCAGTGCAGTGCTCCTGCCATAGTCTCTCAGATTTAGTATTTGTACCAAAGACTAACCATTGCATTATGACCACTTTAAAACCCAATTTTCTAGATCGTATCTAATGTTGTTATATAGCAGAAATCTAATTAATCCAATTCCTGTCTTAGGAGTGCTTGAGTGATTAAAAAATAAACCAGCTTTTGGCGCATGTCCTCTGTCAATGTTCTTAAGTCTTTTCCACCTTAGAAGATAAATTACTTCTTTACTTCACCTAGGGATGAGGCCATGCCACTTAGTGCTCCTTTGAAACTGTACTGATCCACAGCTGTGCTCATGTCTCACGCTCACAGTCCACTCAGGGGCTTTTCTTGCTAATATGCTGACAATTTAGTCGTTGGGAGCCAGACTCCCAGCTCTCGGAGTGTCTCACTAGCACAGACAGGTTCCTCAGCTCCAGATTATTATGCTGTGAAGTCTGTTTTCTGTCCAAGAACCATTTTTCTTTCTATCCAAAATCTTAGACATATAAGATTCCCTGGTGGCTCTCTGTCTGCAGACACCTTTCTTCATACAGAGTTCAGAAAAGAAACAGTTTGCTAGTTTACATTAGAGGGGTCCTCTCTGAAAGCGCCACACCCCCAGTGTTTAGCAGGTTTCTATTAGGGTGTCGAAGGC